TTTATGTAGAAAGTAATTGAATTTGGATGTTTGTGATTGTAATACTTTTATAAAGTAAACTCTTTGCTTTGACGAGGAAATTATTTACTGAAATGAATATGAGTTATAAAAAATCAATAGAATTTGATGAAAAAAAATCAAATGATTATTAATGGAAGATAGTAGAAAACAAAGATGAAGATATTATCTCGATTTATTTGTGACATAGGAAACTCGACCAAATTGATCGAGTTTTCCAAGATACATTCATAAGTTTTAGACATCAAGAAACTCAACCAATTGGCCGATATGAGAAATTTTATGAATGAGACATCAATTAAGATGTCTAATTAGCTATTTATTTGTCTTTTAAAGAGAGATTCTCTCCATGACTTCCCTTTTCCTTTAATTTTGCTTTTATAAACTATTACAGAGGTTTTCTATATAACTTCTCTTTAGTTGCATGATTTTCTTTAAATTATTAGGTTAATTTAAGTCTGTTATGCCAGGGCAAAAAGAAAGAATGTTTGATTGATTTGTGACAAGAGTGAAACAACAATAGTTATCACCCGCGCACCATACTCACACAATAGTCGGAGAAGATGATGACAAACACAAACGCTCAGATGGAGGCAAGGAATATCTCCTCCAATAAGTAGAAAGTCAGAGTAAGGTTCTCAAGATAAAAATGATGCATCAAGAAGGGGTCCACGAGCAATTTGAAAATATTCAAACTTGAAGATGAAGAGTTCTTGAATTACCTAAATCAGCATGTGATAATTCTCCTTTTGATTTTGTTGAAGTTATCCAAATCATGAGTTTATTGGTGAACTATTGATTCTAATTCTTGGTTATTGACTATTTGCTTAATTTTTTTTTGCGAACATTAAATAATGTATACCTCCTAACTTACAGTCGACATCTAACTAGTAAGAGAGTTTAAAAACTTGTCTACAAAAATACGATGAATCTATGTGATTTATTGGAGTTCATGATTTTAACATCAACAATGAGTAATATTTGATTATCGAAATGGTCAACATGCAACGCATTTGTGCACCAACTAGTATATATATATCATTTGACATATACATATATCATATTTATTAATTACATATTATGTATTTATATTTTTTCATCCTTTTATTGTTTTATTAATACCAAACATAAAAAAATTAATCATTTCTACTTTCCTTCTTTAGATGATAGAAAGTGTATCATTCATATTTTTCATCTTTTCTATTAAATCGAGCATAAGTATTTGCTGATTTTTGATTCTCTCGAGCTTTTTTAAGAGACGAGTCATTTGGCGAGTGTTGATTTCTTACATTCCTTCTTTTGATATTTTAGTAAGCTTTGTTTTTAGGCGTCTTTTTTGCCTTCAATGAGTGGCTTTTTCTCTGTTCTAGAATTATTAATTACATTTACATTAAAAAAGTAAAACATAATAAATTTTTGCCCAACCATATCATTCAAATACCAAATGCAAAACTTAAATAGAGTATCTAGCAAATGAGGTTCCAATCACTTGAAAATGGTTACTAGCAAGTTACTCAACAAAAATGGAACAACATTGGCTTTCAGAGCATGACCTATGCATCAGACATTTTTGAGGAGAACTCTTTCACATCAGAAATCACGTGAATTTGCACTTCAACAACCAGATTCTCTCGTACTATGAAGCCCTTCGATTCATCGTACAAATCATGAAGAGAAATTAGATCATAACCGCGGCAGTTGTTTAGGTCACACAACCAATAATTACCTGTGATAGAATAATTAAGAGGAAAATTTTAGAGGAAGTGAACAAACTAATTTTAAAAGGAAAATAGTGACAAACCAGTTTTCCAGTCTCTGTAAAAAGAACATATGTTAAAGATGGAGGGCAAGTGTTCACCTTTCTTTTCGCAGTGTTTGCCATTGACTTGGTCTTTTACCAAGAGGCTAAATTCCACATACAATTTTCGCTTGGTTGGAAGGGATTCGCAATTATCTAACCATAGAAAGACAGATAAGCTTTTTCCCTTTTTACTGCCACTTCCTTTGGGATAAACAAGTATCTTCCTAGACCAATAAAGAAAACAACATATAAGAAACAATTCCATCTGGTTATGGTACATAGAGAATAAGAATTAAGTGAGGAACTCAAAGGGCTTAAACCATTTGTGCTCTCCAATGGTGAAAGGTTCAGAGAACAAACGCTCCTCTTTTATTTCTGCAATTTTTTTGATCTCCCAAGAGTAACTATTGTCATAAGTTTCCTCCTTCAAAGAAAGACACTCTCCTCTGCCAGTAGGTTTAATGACATAAACCTCGACTCCAAACATACAGGAGTCATCAATGAGGTATCCTTTAGAAGCATCTTTGAAAGTGTCGAGGGAAAGTAATTTGGCGAAACCAAACTCAGTCTTAAACCTGTGGAAACGTCTTACTCTCCCATCAGCATCTACACACATGATGCACAGAAACAATTGAAGTCATACTCTCTCATATAGCTTAAACAGAGTTATAATTACTACAAGTGAAAGAATGAGCATTTAGAGAAATGTTACTTTGGATGGTCCGGTACTTGTCTAGGTTACGATCGTACACCAAAAAGTCGAATTTGACATTAACCTCCCAATTAAGAGGTAACGTATCTGTCGCTGATATTGCTAAGTAGAGAGAGATGTGATCTTTCCCATTTCGTTTCTCATCTCCATTAGGGTATAGACATAATTTCCTGCAAACAAGGCAAAGCACACTTATCTTGGATTTTAAAAAGCAAGAAGACTTCTCACAATTGAGAAGAAAGGATTTCTATTTTAACTCACCATTTGTAACCACATGATTCAAAGTCCCTCGATTCAAATCTTTTCTCTTCGGCCTTGGAAAGCAATGAGAACGATTTGATTTCAAATAGGTAATCACTTGGAGGAACGTCTCTTAGTGTCTTTGAAATTTCTGCAGAGACTCAAAAAAGTTCATACTTTACTACATATCACTGTTTTATATAAAATCTTGATTGCAGATAATATATTCTTAAAAAATTTTGAAAAATACAAAGAATGAGAAAAATAGAAAAAAAAAGTTTGAGATAAATTTATATCATAGGTTTCTCGTGTTTTGATGAATAATAAAAATTATGCCCAGATTTAAAACAAACCGTTCAGACTAACATTACATGGATAGTGTATCGATTTTGTACGTGATACGATACTTGTTCTAATACACGGTACAATAAGAATAGCCTTAATTGACACACTATTTTGAGTCGTGGTTCGTTTTGTAACATTTATATAGAATAATATATTGGTATACACATAATTAATAAATATTTATTTTAAAGAACACCAAAATAAAGAAATAACAAGTTAGTAAGAGTTATGATTTGGGGTTAGTTATATCATGAATCAATTTGCGGTTGTACTTATAATTTGGAGTCAGAACTTTGGATCTAGATCGCGTACCCATTTTATTTCGATTTGTGAGAACCTGGTTCATGGGACGCTAGGGGTATCTACGATCCCTGTATGTATAGTTCAGACATCTCTAATAAAATGCCTAGATTTCAACATCTAGATCTTTTGTTTCAAACGCATAAAAAACACATAAGCATCCAGAGGAAGACATAGTGATTACCAGCTGCACCATCATCGTCAGGGAAAGGATGGACAGACTTCTCGTCCATGACTTTCGTCGTATGTTTTTGAAGAACAAGTTGATGCGAGTGATTGGATTGCCTGCTTGGTTCCCTGCAGAGGAATATAGAGATGCTATATATATATATATATATATATATATGCTACACGAGCAAAGCACCTATAAAATCAGAGGCGAATGAACTGAGAATCAAAGTCATAAATGAGATTTAATATTTAATGTGAAAGACTAATCTATAGAAGATAATCTATATATAAAGCCAGTTTCTATGAAAAATGAGATTGATATGTACCCAACAAAGTAATATAGTCATAAATTTACTCTGTCTCACTCAGCAAATTAAGTAAATCACCTGCAAAATTCAACCCTATTAAAATTCTTTTTTTAGGTATTAAAATTCTAGTCGATTTGAGCTCTATCTGTGTTGTTAGCGCCGATTAAAATTTTTATTTTTTTTATTTATTAAAATTCATACCAATTAAAATTAGATTCAAGTTGATTAAAATTTGTGTTTTATGTATTAAAATTTGAGTTGATTTAAATTTATATTTTTTTATGTATCAAAATTCAGACTGATTAAAATTCTATGCGAATTAATTAAAATTTGATTTGAGCCGATTAAAGATAATTAATTTTTAATCGACACTAATTTTAATACGTAAAAAATAAAGTTTAATTAACTCGAATTAAATTTTAATATTTAAAAAATTTTAAAAAATAAATGGGATTTTTTTCAAATATATTATAGACAATTTAGCAAAATTGTATTCTAATTAACATTTTTAATTTATAGGAGTGTCAGTAAAAATTCAAAAAATAAAAAGAGTATCGTTGAAAATGTGAAAAATTAGAAAAAGGGTGACTAAAATTTTTTTCCAGAAAAAGGGCACACCGTGACATACTGAACCTACCTTCTCTCTTTAATACTAAAGACACAAACACTTTATTCTCTCTCTAAACGCACAGTCTCCTCTTCTCTCCTTTTGTATACGATCGGTAACATATATGTATGTATATATCAAACAGACAGAGAAGTGAGGCGAAAATAAGAAAATTTAATCTCTGACCGAAGAGAGTACCTGATAGTCTGACACTTTTATGGTCAGTTTGGTACGAAAGGGTAGAAAGAAAGAAAAAATTGAAAGAATAAATTTTTTATCTACGAATAAAAGAAAGTTATTTTTTTTTTTGTTTGATAGAAGAGATAAAAATAAAAGAGATATTTTTTATCGATCAGTATTAGATGAAAAATAAAAGAAAAAAAACATATATGTCCAATTTTATTTCTGTCAACTCATCTCAAGCCCAATAAAATTTTTTACTCTTATCTGCCACGTGGCAGTGTAGCCAACCTAGACATAACCTTGTTATGTGTCTTGCTTCTAGAATGTTGGGCTCATTTGTTGCATATGAAATAAGGGGTAAAATGGTAAAAGCTATGTCATGCCCAAAAGTTGATTCAGTCTCTCTCCTTTTCCGCCCATATTTGGGGGAAGAGTTTTGGTGGGCGGAAGGGAAAGACATTCCTCCCCGGCTGCCGCTCCATCTTATTTTCCCTTCATACCAAACGGCAAAAACTTTTTCTATCCGTCCCATTTTTCTCTCTTCATTTCTCATCCACTATGTTTTCTTTTCTATCAAACAGACTATTAGTCGCCCAAAAATCACGAAGGTTCGCTTGATAAAGGAGTTCTTAGGTAAAGTGTCACACCCCCCCGATTTTTTTTCTATTTTGAAAAAAAAAAATTAATCATACGTGACTAAAGAATTAGACGACGCATAACTCATAATAACCTTCCCTCTGTTATTATTAACATATTCAACATACAATTACATAAAAGATAATACAATTTGCACTTGATCAGCTAAAAAATTCTTAAAACAGCATAAAAAGAAATAATAATATTAGTCTTTATCTACCATCATTTCAGCTTATCTTTCTATCTGACTTCATATTTCTGAAAAATGTTAAACAAGGATGAGTTCACCAGCCCAATAGAATAACATATATCAATGATTATCAAGATTTTAAAACAATACATAATATAATTAAACAACAAGTAAATGCAGGAATATGTCAAAATAATGAATCAAATAAATAAATAAATAAAATGCAGCACATATCGATCATATCAATTCATAAATTTTTTGGTTCACGCATGAATTGCCTCAGGAGAAAATTTTGAGATTTTGCAACCGAAAGAACCCAATGCCTTTTTTGACAACACCAATATCAAAAATTCTGTGGCACCACACATACTACCAACGACAAACTGATATTATCAACTAGTGAACTCAAGGACTACTAGAAATTATGTGAATTCTCGCAAAAATCACGCGCCTACTAACCCCCAATCATCGATAACATGCATTCATAATAATTTCATCAAAATCATAAACTAGAGTTATATTGTATTTACACCCAACAACACGTAAAAAATTAAATACTAAATAAATAATCAAAAAGAAAAAAATATATTTTATATGTCACTTGGTTTCACAAGATGATTAAAGTCTCGATATATGAAAAAAAAATATAACATGTGCATGATCATAATTTATTTATAAAACTTAAGTTCGATCCCATGATTAAAGCGATAGAATATTATATTATATAATTAAAATAGATTTGATATGAAATGCTCAAACATATATAAGATGAATCAATGATAGTAAAAGAAAAAAAATCGTATATCAAACGTAACCTTTACTCGATACCGTGTACTGTGACAAAACAATCAAAATAATATTTTAGAATAAAAATAAGTAAAAAAAACTTAGTTAAACTAAAATAATTTTTGGAATAATTAACAAAAAATAATGATACTTAAATTTAATCCAAAAATATTTAACGATGATCAAATTTAACTGATTGAACATATAAAATTACTAAATAATAACTCAAAAAATCTTACCAAAAATTTTAATCATATAAACGAACTCTTTAAGTCAATAAAGTTTTGACCTTTTTCTTTTCCTCCCCTCTCTCTTTTTCTTTTCTTTAATGTGTTGTTTGAAGGGCCGAAGACAAGTTATTTATAGCCAAAACCTTGGGTCCTAACATCACTCATGATATCTTTCAATTACGTCATATGACAACGTCAGCCAAGATATTTTTGTAGCCCATGTTATAAAACACTTGTCCTCTAAGTGTAACACACACATATTTATGTTCATAGATATATTCATCCACGACAATTTTACAAAATTTAACTTAAATTATAATTATTTAACTCATTTTCACGTAAAAGATTTATATTTGAGGTTTATACGTTTATTTTAATTAATTAATTAATTAATCTATCATTTTAATTTAATTAATTAACTTCTCTGTTCTGGAATCATAATCGAAAACTTAATTAATGTGTTAGTAATTAATTATTATTATTATTACTTTTCTTTATACGGGTAGTCACATGGAGTTGCCGGAATTTGGATATCACGCGCATCGCTGGAGCATGCAGACGGTTAGAGATGGGAAAAAAGTGCCGAGAAGAGTGAGAATATGCGTGAGGGAGAAGCAAAAATAGTGGGGCAGTGATAAAAGAGGCACCGGACTCCAAATGTTTATTCACTACAGTTAATTTTGAAAAAAAAAGGGCTTAAAAAGAGAGAATTATACTTTAGCTCTCTAAATTTGTTATTTAATTACTTAAATTCATAATATTTAAAATATTGTTTACCAACCCTCTAAAATTTGTATACACATAATACTTAGACCCCTGTCATCAATGTCCGTTAAAATATCCATTAGTAAATTATATTTACAGTCTCTGAAAATTGTATGCGTATAATATTTAGACCCTTCAAGTTTAAAATGTTATATCATTTATTGATATAAAATAAAAAATAAAAAATAAAAAATATTTTTTTTAAAAAAATCATAATTAATATACAAATATATTTTCTATTAAAATAAAACTAAAAAAATAAACAACTATTCAAACAATAATGGACATAATATCTTCTATTTTTAATTAGGATAGTTTGATCGTTTAATAGATAATATAATTATATATTAGTTATGATTTTTTAAATAAAAAATTAGATTTTTAATTTAAATTTTATTTTAATAAAAAATATAATAGAACATGAATTTTGGTTATAAAATTTAAAATATTTGATTTCTATCTTTGATTGGATTATTTTTAATCTAAGTATAACATTTTAAATTTGAGTAGTCTAAGTATTATAAGCTTATAAACTTTCGGAGGTCTGAGTATAATTTACTGACGGATATTCTAATAGACAATGCCGGTAGAAGTTTAAGTGTTACGCGTGTACAAACTATATAATATTTCAAATATTAGGAATCTAAGTGATTAAGTGACAAATTTCAGAAAATCTGAGTGTAATTCTCTCTTAAAAAAATCAAGGAAAACTCATTTTTTTTTATTCAAATTAAGGGAGACTCAAATCTTTACTCAAATTTTTAATTGTGAGATTTCACCATCTTTTAAAGATTCAATGGTCACCCTTACTTTCTTTTAAATTTGGGTTTCTCCTCATTTAAATTTGGATATCTCATTTTTTAAATTTGAGTTTGTCTATTGGAGTCATTTATATCAAATCAAACTTTTTACTCAAATATCAATATAAATTTAAATAAAAATTTGAGTCATGGTTAGAAATATTCTAACAAATGTATATTTGAGTTCATAACATAATGGGTGTCAAGCAGTTGCTTGTTATGTTTAGCCGGTCTATATCCACTTATTTATTTAGACATATGCAACAAGTTTATCTACTGATCAACTTTTTTTCGTTTTATCAACCACCAAGACTAAATTTAGAGTCTATTCATATTGATTTTGTGTTAAGTTTGCATATCTGATTTAATTAATATTGCTATTACTAGATTTCAACACTTGAGTGTTTTTTATTGTTTTTATGTTATGGTGCTCTTTGGGGGATAAGTTGCAGTGTGCAAATTTGTATGTATGTTGGGATTGGATACAGCTCTCCAACTCTGGCCTCAGTCATAGCAGATCTCACCCCAGCGTCTACCTTCTTACTTGCAATTATCACAAGGTATGCACGAATCCTCCTTTCAAGTTAATACTCTCTCCCACTGGACCAATGGTACCTTCATGATCGTTGATTCTGCTGTCGAGCAAAGGTTAAGATGTAAATCTATATATGTCTTTAGTTTAAATCTATTTGATTACATAGAATTTCTGTTTAATTAATACACGT